GAGGAGAAGGATGCTGCCCGGGGCACGCTGCACCTCAGGGGATTCCCACCCACCGCCTCCATCTCTGGGGCACCCCAAGGGTTTCACCGTGAGGGCCAGGAAAAGGGGGTGCCGGGGGCAGGCACCCGGGGGGTTCAGGACTGGGTGCTTTGGGCTTTGGTTGTTTTTGGGTGCTAAAGGGCTTTGGGAGCGTGAGGTTGCTGCGTGTTGGCCGTCAAGCCAGCCAGCTGCGTGCATAAGGTCTGCTCGGGGAGGGTGGTCTCCATGGGGTGGCCAACACCTCCGGAGGATGAGGCTTTTCCGCCACCGAGGCATGCCTGGGGCACTCCTAACTGTGGATCCTTGGGTGTCTACGGATGCAGTTGGATCATTCCTTTCTCCCCAAAATGCACAGGAACGTATCAACCTTGGTGGCTGCTGCTGAACCTGCTGGGAAACGGGGTGGGAAGGGAGGCAGCGCTCCGTGGGCTGTGGGGTTTCATGGTCGTGTGAAACCAGGCTTGGAAGGACCAGAGTTGTCTACACCCCAGGCTGGGACAGAAACTGGGGCTGCTCCAAAGTGTTGGAGACCCCCAGGGTGGTCAGTGGTTTGGTAGATCCCCCATCAGCCGGGACGCCTGAACCTTCCCCATCGCTCCTGCAGCCTCACCGCCCGGCAACGGACAGCGAAAGCTGCAGGAGGTCAGAGACCACGGTGAAGGGCTCTGGCATCCCTCTGCGAGGGCCAGACTGTTGCGATGGCAAGAGCCAGCAGCTGCGCTGGGTAAGGGAGGGGGACACCAGCCACTCGTCCGCCCAGCAGACACCTGGGCTATGGGGGGGTGAGCATGGGTGCCAGGAAGAACCCACCCCGCGCCCAGCATGGACACCGGGAGCGTCCCTCGCCGCTGATCCGGAGGAGGAGAGGCGTGATAGCTCTGGCAGTGGGACGCAGGGCTCCTGCCCGGGCGTGGAGGTGTCCTGGCATGGGCCACGGCTCATGGCCACCAGCCCTCGCTCACTGCCAGCGCCTGCTTTCCTGCAGCGATTTCGTAAAGCAGGGAGCTGGTTTCCTGACTGCTTCATACCCCTAATACCCCAGCCCAGCTCCCAGCCCCTCTTGTCAGCTGGGACTCCCCATGCCCTGCCCTGGCTCCCTCCATCCCCCTGCCCTGGCTCCCCGCACCCCCTGCCCGGCTCCCTGCACCCCCTGCCTTGGAGAGCTCAGCCCCCTCCCATACCCCTTCAGCACCCAGTGCCACCTCCCAGGCACCCTCTCCTTGCCTTCCCAGCCCTTCGCACCCTCCAGCTTTGCAACAACTCCGCTCTGCAAATTTCCCCCCCCTCCTCCCGTCCCCAGCAGCTGCCCCACTAATCCCCGCCATCCATCCATTGCTCCTGACAGCCTGGGATTTGCTCCAGGCCAGGGACCAGCCGAGACCTGCACCTGCTCCACGGAGCCGTGGCCAGATCCACCCCTGCTCCTCCACAGCCCTAAAAAGGAGACAAGCCGGCCGCGTTCCTCAGGGACATGTCATATTTTCTCCCTGGGGACACATGCTGTGCTCCCTGACTGCTTGCAGCACCCCGAGCGGGAGCCTAGGGCACCCTGACTCTGCTCTCCCCTGGCGGCATCCCTCCTGGGACACCCCTTTGAGGAGCACCCACCTGGCAGGGAGATCTGGGGGGGCTGCAGGAGGGATGGAGAGGGGCAGGGATGCTGAGCCCCTTCTGCAGGGAGGGCAGGAGCATGGCGGGGAGCCTCGCTGCCTGTGCCCGGGAGCCTTGCCAGGCAGGGACATGCCACAAAGTCAGGCATGCCGGTGCAGCGGGGCAAACGGAGCCGCTGTTGAACCTGGCAGCTGCCGGGACTTTGCGGCATCCCCAGGAGCCAAGCCCTCCTCTCCAATGCATTTCCCTCCTGCGGTGAATGAAACCGCAGGTGGAAGAGGGGTTTGGGGGGGTTTCACCCTCTCCGCCGCCTTCCCGGGCTCTCCCTCTCCTCGCCAGCTGGAATTCATATCCTGGTGACCTTCCCTCTGTCCTCAGACGTGCTGGAGATCAGGCAGTGCCTGCTGAAGCTGGGGAAGGGGGGGGCTGGCAGATTGACGGACGCTTGGACGTGCTGTGAGAGCTCGTAAACTCCCTTCCCCGGGGAAACGGGACTAAATATAGCTGCGGGAGGCTGCAGTGGTGTGGGGCAGGCAGGAGCAGGCAGGAGGATGCTCAGCGAGGCTGTTGGCAGGGATGGGGCCCACCGGCAGCTCTCAAGGCTCGCATCCTAAAACCCCGTCCTCGACCGGCCGATGCATGAGGAATGGAGAGATTCGGGCTGTTGGGAGGGGGGGCAGAGGCGTCTGGCAGGAGATGAAGGGCAGGAGCAGGCAGACAGGCAGGACGAGGGCTCAGTGCCTGCCCTGAGGGCAGCGGGATGTGACACCGGTTTGAAATGCATCTCCCGACTCTGGTGCAGGACCTGGCGGCCACCCCGGGTGGCACGGCATTAGCTGAGCTGCGGGAGGCTGCAGTGGGGCAGGCAGGGATGGGGCCCACCGGCAGCTCCCAAGGCTCCCCTCCCAAAGCCCCCCTACCCCC